ACTCATCGTCTCCTGGTGATTGGGCCAAAGTCACCCAGCTGGCTTTCATAGCTAAGGCAGGACTAGAACTCACCGTCTCCTGGTTTCTAGCCTGGTGCCTTAACCACTAAAGCAAACTGGCTCAAGCGGTCTCAAACAAGCCCTCAGGCACAAAGAAGGATGCTGCAGTTTGAGCTTTCCTGCAAATGCACCTTCCCTAATTGTGCAAGAAAGGTACGGGACCTCTGCACATGCTCTAAAAATCTTCAGCTCCCAAATGTAAATGCTCATTTTGGAAAAGATTTGGCTAGAATTTCGACCTTCCTAATCAGCCCACCTTGGGAGGATTTCCCACGCTGTCGTTGAAATACAGAGCCGGTGCCAAAAGGAAAGGCGAGATGCCGGTCTTCCCAGAACGCCCCCGGTTACCTGGGCTGCGTGGTGGGCAGGCGTGGCACTGGTAACCCCACCCTTTGCCATGGCGGCAGCAACACTCCTCGTACGTCAACTGTTGGCCACCGAACGGCGATGAACACATCCCGTCCTCGCCCCGGAGTTGCCAGCAGACGTCCCGTCGATCGGTCACTTTGTCTGCAGCCGGGGGTGGGAGGGCGGGGAGGAGAAGAGAAACGGGGGCGATGAGATAGAAATCCAACAGGGTGAGATCTGGGGACCGTGGCTTTGGTTTTAAGCAACCCAACTTTTGGAAAAAGAGAAAGGGAAAGAAGAGAGAAAGGAGGGAGGGAGGGAGGGAAGAGACTGGACTGCCATCTGTCAGAAATGGTGTAGGGTCTCCTGCTTGGGCGGGGGGTTGGACTAGATGACCTACAAAGTCCCTTCCAACTCTGTTAATCTGTTAAATCGGATGGATGGATGGATGGATGGATGGATGGATGGATGGATGGATGGATGGATGGATGGATGGAAGGAAGGAAGGAAGGAAGGAAGGAAGGAAGGAAGGGGAAGGAGGATAGATGGATGCATGAAAAAAATGAAGGAAAAGAAAAGGAAGGAAGGAAGGAAGGAAGGAAGGAAGGAAGGAAGGAAGG